TTCTTTCTTTCTTTCTTTCTTTCTTTCTTTCTTTCTGTTTTTTAAGATGATGAGGCAGAGGCAGAAATAGTAAATCAGTCTTTACCATTCATGGCACATGCAAATAGCCAAAAAGCAAACGCCAAGCCAATGGTTTGAAAGCACACAATGAATTAGAAAATATACTTAGAAATGTAATATTTTTAAAAAGATGCACAGGAATGCAGCAAGAGGAGTGTAAGTGCCAGCCAGAGAAATGAAAACGAAGACCTAGAGGAAAAAACAAATTAAATCAAAATAATCCAGCATGGTCAAATGTTTCCTTTTCCTAAACTATGTGTGGTATATATTGCTTTACATACAACCTCCCGTCTTTCGAAGCCTGTAGAGAAAGAAATTCTGGGCAGTTCAAATCAACAATTTATGTCTCTCAGTGGAGTCATTTTCACAATAAATGAAATCCTAACTTTATAATGATAGATCTCCCTGCCTCAATTGGAAGACCTGTGGAGCTAAAGCCCTTGTTAAAAGTTCTATTTTTTAACCTTTAATTTTCTCACAATGACAGGAAATTTATTAATACTCTTGTATCATTTTCTAGTGAGTGTAACATATGATTAAATTTCTAGACTACAGATCAATAAATTCCTTTTTAAAATAAGGCTACAACTAGTGGAATGCATTTTCTTCATCTGAACACATTTTTGAAATATAAATGATTCTCATTCATTTAAACTTCAATTCCATGGCATTCAAAATAAAACTGGGCTCTCTTATTCTTATTGGGACTTCTGAGAAGAGATGTATATAACTACACTGTGTTAGTGGAATTAACCCAACCCTCCACCACAGCTGTGCAAAAAATGCCTAATAAGAATCATGCTACCCACTGAAATGTGGGCAATCTGGAAGGTAGTATGTCAAAAGAAATTCAGATTGGAGCTAGTTCAGTTCCAAAGAGATAGATAACAGACTGTATTTTTGACTGTGTGACCTCTTCCATCCATCCATAATCCGTTCAGTTGTCTACAAAAGCAGGCTATTGTATGTGGAAAAAATAGGGGCTGCATCTTCCAAGCAGTATAAAGTTGGTCTAATGGATCAAGATTGAATATCCCCTACTGAGACGGCTAACAATTTTCTTTTCCTTGAGTGCTGGTAGTTAACCTGGAAAAAAGGCATTCCTCTAAGCTTGGTTAGGTAAATGTCTCAGGGAAGACAAGAAAAAATGTCTTTCTCAGTCACTATACAAGAGAACTTCATTCAACAACATTTCTGATGAATTTTTTTAAAAAATAATCTTAAAATTATTTTTAAAAATTCTGAGAACTCAAGGTTCAGGGAAAAGAAAGAAAGAAAGAAAGAAAGAAAGAAAGAAAGAAAGAAAGAAAGAAAGAGAGGGAGGAACCAATCATATTACAGGACAATGCCAATGGATGGGGAGAAAAATGGAATAGATCCCATCCTTCCTTTGATGTAATATTACAGATCACATGACCACGCGCCACTATAACAAGTGAATCTAAATGTCTTCCTTCTAAATCAGAAATTCATAATTTAGCACAAAATTTCATTTGCTTTTAAAAGGACCAGGCAGCAAATATTTTAGACATAGCAGAGGAAGGAAATATTTCTGTGACCCAACACAGAATAGGCTGATGGCTAACCGTGATATTATTTCACGTATAGCTGCAGATTTCTGCAAGACATTTTGGATAAAGATAATTTCTACCACTACAAGGGAACTCAAAGCTAAGAATCAGGTGGCTTTTTCCAGTCAGCCCTCAAGTCTAAACCTCAGGTCTATTATGAATTAATCTTTTAAAAACTTCAAACAATATAGACAGATCTAACATTTCTTCAGTGTGTACCAGTTTACTGGATTTCATATTTTTGGAAAGCAATGCTCCCCCAAAAAAGGCATCTGAAAGGCTGGTCAAGAATAAGATCTCCCAGTGACTTCTTTTATTTGGCTGGTTGAGTACCTTACACTATTAAATCAGCCATTTGTATTTGTATTTGGCTTAGAGACGATTGGGATGGATATTTGGATATTTCACGGGTACTAATGCAGCTTCTCAAAATTGGATCAGAAAAAGAATCTGTTCAAAGTGATTGAATGGTCAATTAAATGGCAAACATAGGGCAACTTTAAGTAAGTGAAAAGTAATGCATATGGCAGCACAACACTGATGGGCTTTAATATATTAGGAAGAAGATCTGAAGGTTATAAAGGATATTTCAATGAAGTTGCTGACTTAATATGTTTCAGCTATGAAAAATGCATAGTCCATGTGAGGGATCAATAGGAAAGGGAATGAAAATAAAACCATCAACATTGAGTCCTAAGATAAATCTATGGCACATTAATATCTGGTAAACTCTGAATGCTTCTGCTTGCCATATTTGAAAGAGGACATAAGCGGGGTGGGAGGGGATGCAAAAGAAGGAAACCAAAATGATCAGCAAGCTACACCACCCTCCTTACGAGAAAAGAGTAAAATGTTTGGAGTTCTTTTATAAAAATGATAACTGATGCTGAAAAGTATGCGACAAGGTGTATAAAATCATGTATCGCATAAAGAGAGTAGATTGCAGTTTTTCTCCCTCTTAGGACACCAAGATCAGAGGTCATCTGCAAAACTGATTGGAAGATTTTGGAGAGACATAAAGAAGTATTCTTTCCCACAGCCCATAGTGATGAATGCTCACTAACTTGGATGGCTTTAAAAGAGAATGAATGGATTAATGGAGGATGGAGTTCTTGAGGGCTAACATCAGATTATGGGGAGCATGCCTACAAACACCAGCTATAGGGGACCAACTATGGAAGAGATTGTTACTCTATGATGCTTGCAAGCATCCCAGAAGTAGCTGGTTGGCTACTAAGAGATATAAATGTTTGAATAAGGTGAGCTTTTGTCTGACCCAGATGCTGTAAGATAGATATTAAATTACTATTTTATGTCATATTCAAAATAATGAGTGGGGTATCATCTTTAAGGGCAGATTGTTTTTAAAACAAACACTCTTCTTTTTACCATAATTCTATTCCAGTGAAGATGGGTAGAAAGGGATTTTTAGCAGTATGGTATAATTCCTTTCAGCTAGTTTATCTATGATTACATATTTTCTTGCATTTTTCTTATTTCAGGGATATATTAGGACTGCAGATTTTCTTTAAAAAGGGGGGGGATTCAGAATAGTGGGAAAGTACCAAACAGCCTCTTCATACCCAATTAAAGCAGCTGCATCTTTCTCTAGGGCCATACAGCTGTGCTGGAAGCTATTCCCAGCTATGTGCATACAACTGTTTTGCGGGGGGGGGGGGATCGAGGATAAACATGTTCGTAATAGCCACCTCTCTCTCATCATGGGCAGAAAGTTAAGTGGAGATTGATGGGCAGCTGCTTTTCAGAATGGTAGGATGGCCAAGATCTGAGGATTTCTTTCTATCACAATATAATGCTATGCCCACCCTTCTGTCAAGCACAGTATAGGAATCAATGTGATCTCCTTATCAGTCTGCCTAATTTACAGGGGAGACTAAATGGTTCACCCTTGCCTTTAGACCAACAAACAAAATATAATCCCTTAATATAAATTGCTAGCCACTGGTGGAATGAACAAATCACACAGTGGAATCTTACTTGAATGCTTTTATATTCCTCCACACATTGAAATAGTGGAGCAGATATTCATATATTCCACCTTTATATTTTAAAATGCATAATCAAAGGACAAAAGAATAATGCTGGCATAGAAGGAACTGCAGTATCACTGAAAAGGAATCTGATTTGAACTCTCATTCATTTCTTGAGCCAATTTGCCTCAAATGCAACCATGCATTTAATAAAGACTTTGTTAAACCCATTTTTCTTGGTATGAAAACATTTAAATAATTTGAAATGTGGTATTAGTGAGATGCAGTACTGTTTACAACAAGAAACATTTTTTACTAGATATTTCTTTATCTTAAATTTTCTTTCCAATACAGTGGAATATCCTGAGTAGAGAATCATTTGTGCATTCTTAAAATGAAAAAAATATAAGTAGCATTTTGTTAAAGAGGGTTGATTTAGCTGTTAAAATGCCACAGATCATATCACACCATATCCATTTATAAGGACCAAATGTATATATTCTAAAAGCTGGAAGTAAATGTAACTTATATCCAGGATGTTTGTGTCATTGGGTGTGTGTGTATCTTCCCCCCGCCCTCCCCAAAAAGCAACTAATTTTTTTGATTGTCAACTTAAGAGGCAAAAAACCCATGGTTTCAGAGATAAGAGTTGACTCACTGACAAGTTGATTTTAATGGATGGAGAAATGAGGTTTGACTCCTTTCTCAGAGTCGGCAAGAAAACTATAAGTTGATAAAGACTCTCCTGGCAATTACTTCTGAATGACTAGAAAGAGTATTGATTTCAGAGCCAACTCAACTCCTATAATTGATGCCAAATAGTCAGACTGATGTGCTTCAAGATTTGTTACCTTGAAGAGAACAGAAAAACCATTATTTACAAAGGGGTATGTCTTCTCCCAGCCATCTCTGTCCACCCAGTAGCTTCTAATAGAGAACTTCCCTTTGACATTCTTCAAGGCCAAGGACCCACATTTTCTGTTGATGCCCATCTGCTTTGGAAGATGTTTCAATCAAGCCCAAGCCAGCACCAACATTGTTGGTGGTCAGAGAAGTGGACCTGATTATTTTAGGGCTAGATGATATAGCAGTTCTTCCCTACGGTAGGCAATTATTAATGTTAGGATATTTTCCGTGATGTGTTAATAGCTACTATTACTGGGGTTTGGTTATTTCTTTTCTTTTCTTTTTTTAATTTATTTTTTTATGCTATCCATAAGTCACACAGCATCTATAGCAAATCAATCAATAACTGGCAGGACATTTGGCTGCTTAATGGATATGGTGTGACAGGTCTGTCGGTTTACAAAGTTCAGCAATGGGTTTCATTCATGTAATTTCCAAGCACAGCTGGTACCTAGTAAATAAAATCAAAGACCTGTTAAGAACTGCAGTGAAGAGTTTGTTCTTTACAGATTGCAGCAAGTCTGAGTTGAGGAGGTTCTGACAGATGCAAAATGTACACCTGTTGCAGGTGCACATACAGCGTAACCGGGCATGGCTGCGAAAACACACAGAAGGACAGGAGTTGAGACCTTGGGCAGAAACCATGAGAAATCTGAGCCAAAACCAAGAGAAATAGGAACTGGGAACATTTGGGAGGGTCAGGAAGCGAGGCAAGGGTAGAGTCAAGCTGGGCAGAATTCCAGGAGGAGCATACTGTATTGTAAGGGACTGTGCTGATACGCCAGCGTCCCCATAAGGAAAAAAAAAAAAGATCCATTTTCCATCCACATTGGGTTTAGAAACGGAAGCCTAACAGAATATGCCTAGCACAAAAGCAGCTCCTCCTTAATCCCCAGCAAAATTGGAATTCAGTTTTCTTCTTTAACGGAAAGTCGTTAAGCAACAGCTACCCTTACCTCTGGCATTCCAACCGACACACACATGCTTAAGAGAATTAAGGGAAGAAAGTCAAATACGCTATTGCTTAGATTTCTCCAAATATTTAAATATCCCAGGTTGCCAAACAGAAATTAAGAAGAGCGGAATTTCCTGAATTTAGATGTCTTTTTTTCCTCCCACTCTAAAACTGGACTCTCCAAGGAATGGAAGCAACTTTACCTTCACTGAACAACTGAAAGCCTCCCACCCAGCAGCACTGATCCTTGAACCGTCAAGATGTTTCCCTATAGTCTAATTGAGTACAGAAAGATAGCGGTGGTGGTTTTTTTTTTTAAAGGAGAATTTAGGTCAATAGCTATTTATGAGAGAGCTACAAACAGAAAGCCAATATTCAAATGGAGAGTATTTCCAATTCCTGGCTATAAGAGCAAACTCTTGCCATGTGGATTTTTTTTTTTTTTTTTTTGGGGGGGGGAGGCCTGGAATAGAGGTTGCCATGCATAGACATTGCCTTTGCAGAAACAACTAGGAAGCCTATATTCCAGCAGAGCCATAGATACCAGGGATATATACACATTGAGGGGCCTTAGGATGCCCTTAATATCGGCTACGGCACCATTCTGAATCTGCCATCTGAAGGACATCTATGTCGAATC